ATATACTACTCCTGTAAGAAAAAGAAAGTAATATTTAATATGAATGATGATCCATTTATTTTATGAAACAATAATTTCTTACCATACCACGTATAAGCTTTTCGCGTACCACGGATTGAGAAACGCCGACGTAGATTGTTACGGGTAACATCGATTCACTGCGCAGCGTTTGATTTTAGTATTTTACGGAAGTCGTTTTTTTTTTTTTTTTTGAAAACACTCTCTATCATCATTGTATAATTTTATTTCACTTGTAAGATAGTGCGGACGGAGAAAAAAAACGTGATTTATATTAATGAGTTATTCGGATGCGCCCCACGCGGACGAAAAGAATAGCAACGCTACGATTATATTGTACAAGCCACCTGATTTGTAAAAATAAATCATTACAAAATTAATTTAAATAATTGCATTGATTCTGCCTACTCTGGAGTCCCGCGCGTCTATTCTTCGACATTTCGTTTCATTGTACATAATATTACATACATATAAGTATAACGAAACTTTTCGTCAACACAATGCAATTGAAAACTAATTTTTTCGCCGTCATGTGTTATTATTATCTCTTATTATAAATATTATTGTGATTACCCAATTAGTTGTTATATTATTAATAGATTATATATTATGTAAAAATAATCTTGACGTTTTTTCAATGCAAAATATAATATACCTTTACTACCTATCTGTTGACGTTTTACGAAAAATGGCCGAAAAATATTATAATCGATTAATTTCTTGAATTCATCATATTTCACGTTACCTTTACGATATCATAATGATAAAAATGTCATATAATATCCTATGAACATTATGATCGACATGAATCATGTTGTCAGTTTAATCTTCAATCGTCATTTCAGCGATTTTTTCGGTATGGGATTGTAATATATTTGATTAAAAATATAATATAATATAGACGAAATACATTTTATTTGCGCTCCATATAGAAAATGTTCGACGATTGTTGGCACATGCACACGTCACAGGAAAGCAACACGATAACCATATTGTTATTAACAGTGAGTGAAACCAATAACTTATGTTTAGACATTATTGTTATTATGTTTTCATTATGATAATCTAAAATCGAAAAATTAAAACTGGCAGGTAGTTGTGTATTATTATTACGTCATAATTTTTACGTTTCGACGACGACGTACAGTCGTTAAATGATTGAAAATCTGTGGAATTATTATCACACGTGCCTAAAACAATAATGCGTTGGTACGTTTTGATTTAATTGACCACGGACAACATTGTACCGATCTGTCGACACAGTTAGCCTCGTTTTGTCAATTATTATACAATATTATAATATGAGCCCGAATCTAAAACAATCACATTTTCAATGATTATAAACAGTTTTGCGACAAACTACAAAAAAAAAACCTCTACAGTGGTGATTTATTTCAGTGATTATGATAATTTTTAGTCCGATACTTTTTAGACCTTTTCCACCGATCTATCGCTTACAGATATGTTTTAGAATATTCGTAAATAAGTGTTTAGGAATATTTTTAATCTCGTAATAAAAAAAAAACACACACACAAAATTAGAGATGTGGAGGGGGGTTACATAACGTAGAAGAACAAGTAAAATTGAAAACAAAAAACAATATTCTTGTTATCCTATGGTTTTTTCTTTACAGAACCATCGGTATAAAAGTTTTTTTTCCCTAGAACTACAAACATAATAATAAAACAAAAAACTTTTCTTATTACTTTGACCGTATTAAAAGTTTGTTATAATTTATTTAACAGAAAGGTTAAAGTGATTTTTTGTACGCAAAAATCTTTAAAAAAAGAAATATATTTATACATGTATATATATACGTAAAATTATCTTCCTATATTTATTATAATACCATTATGAATCAAAAAAAAAAAAATATATATTAATTTCAAACAAATCTGATTGATTCTACGAATAAAAGTATAAAATACGATCGTCAAAACTTCAAAAAATTTTCAGAAATTATATCATACTATTATTAGGGTTTCAATATACGTATGTTATATTACGGTATATTTTAATTTGAAAAAGATTAATAATTTGGTCCATGGCATTAAACAATGATACATCATCACCTCTTAGTCCTAAATATATTCAACTTTTGTGTATGTATGTGTATAGTGTAAATATTACGTTTCCATAAAATACTCATAATAATAATAATAATAATAATAATAATAATAATAATAATATAATAATGATAATTACATATTTACATTACAATGTCAGAAGATTTTGATGTTTAATAATTTACAATGTACATTATTTATCATAACTTTCCCAGGAAATAACTGTTGAAAACCGTATAAATTTTTATTTCAAATGCAATAATATTTTGTGATCATAAAACAAAAACTATTAAAAAACGTATTTTTTAGGTATTTTCTTCTTTATATCGACGCATGTGTGAATGCATGCGATTCTATATTTTATGTTTTAAAATGTATCCTCCATTCCGTTATTATAATACCTAGGTATGTCTGTTCAATACAATACTCAAAATAAAAATAATATAAAAACAGTGTTAGGTGAACCAATTAACGGACCGTTTCCTCAGAACAATAATAGCCCGATGATGGTCAAGAGACTCTGACATTTTCGTCTATAAAGTGTCAACAGCATGATTTCAATGCAAAAAAATAACAAGTCGTGCATAAATAATAGCATAAAAAATCCTTAAATTAAAAAAAAACAAACAAATGTATTATGAAATTTAGTTAAAAAACCATATTGTAGCTAGCCAAACGATGTGATATAATTACCTACTATTGAAATAATTTAACTACTAAAAATCTAACGCTGATGGAAAACTTTCAAGCCATGTCTGAATATAATTTATTGGAGACGTACATATACATGAATGACACCGCTTCGCTACATAATGCATAGTATTATACACTTTACTGATATATTATTGACAAAATTAGCTTTTTATCGTTGAAAGTCGACAATTATAAGTTGCATTGTTAATGAACTTTTGTTCGTATTATTACAAAGCTACCCCCACACACCAAAGCCAACATTTTCAATATTCAAATAATAAAAAATGAATGTACATGATATTGTAATGTTGTTATTTGGTGGAGTCTTGTGAGTATTATTTTCATTTTTAACGCGACTTTTCACTTTTTTAATTTCAATAAAACAAGAAAAATGGTCTACTATATATAATACTAAATACCCGTTGCATACGTAACAACTAGGTATATTGTTTATAACTAATATTTTGATATTTTATGAATATTTTGGTGGTTGTATTATGTTTTGTTTCCTGTAATGACGGATAGCCGAGCATTTTAAAGTGTGAAATAATCATTGAAAACTAAACTTGTAAATACAATGTTCATATATTTTATGTTTATTTATATTTTAAAACTAGCGATCACAATATATATATATATATATATTTACCATTTACTTTTATTGTAAACTATCTTGTAAGTAGTACCTACAATATTATATTTGTATGATATCTATCACTGTTGAAAGAAAATAAAATAATATTGTTAAGTTAAACTATCAAAATGTTGTTATTGTAACTATATTATACACTGTTAAGAAATTATTATTATTATTAAAATTATTATTATTATGATTATTATGATTATTATGAATATTATGATTATGATTATTATTAATATTAATATAATTATTATGTTATAATATATTCAATAAATATCCGTTGTGCATTTATAAATATTATGTTGACTTAATACCTAACAACAAATACCTAGAGCATAAAGCAGTACACATACAGCCATCAGTGGATTGCAAAATATGACATTGATTAATATTTAGTATAATAGTACCTTTAACTAACTCATTACCTGTAGCGACCGATATGACTTTTAAGTGGACGTTTTATACGTATTCCATAACAACTTTTCGTGCACTGGTTTCAATATAGAACGTTGTTAGTTTTAATATTAGAATGAGATGATCTAATATCAAGCTTTGAGGTAGGAACAATGTGTGCATAAGCGTCAGCAATGTTTTCAATATCTAATATTAGTAATATTTTACCTTTCAAGCAAGATATGAATGAGATGTGAAATATCACAAATTAAATATCTCGCTTGAACATTAAAATATCCAACAACTCGCTGACTCTTAAGCGCAGATAATGTTCTTACCTAAAACTTTTATACAGGTCAATTCGCTCAAACGTAAAAACGAACAGTGCACTATATTGAAACTAGCGAAGGGGAATTTATTTCATTTAATTGAACGTTTGTCAGAAAGTGAAAACAAACGCATGGCCTTCCAACTTACTAGGTAGGTGCGTATAGTGTGATTATTATAGAAAAACCCATACAATTCCAAGCAAAAGAATAAAAGATTTTTTTTTTAATTTCAAGTCGTAGCTACTATACGTCATATAGGGAAAAATCGTTCGTATCCGTAAACTTTGTTCACATAAAAAGAAGAAAAATATATTACATTAATATGGTCTACATGATGAGCAATGTAAATAACTTACAATACTCCCGTTAAAATAGAAGCCAATTGTTTAATTCTGTAAACAAAACATATATGTAATACAAATATTAAAAATAACTTACCTATTATTGTACATAGTACAACAATATAAAATAATTTCATCATTGCATTACGGCATAAGCGTTTTATCGATGCTTTGAGCTTTTATAAAAAGGACATTTTTTTTTTTTGTTTTCTTTCATTTTACATACTTGTCGAAAGTGTACGATGATACATTTTAACATTTTGATCTTAAATGCCATGTTGGGTGGATATCCACCACATTATT